AGAGGGTGACAACGTGACAGGATAATGTGTGTGTGTAGACAGTGAGTAATTGATCTGCAGTCAGCGAGTATTATTGAGCAGAGCACGTTCGTTGTTATAGCGTTTGTTTTAGCGCGATTGTCGAAATTAAGTGTATCGTAAAGTTATATTCGGAAATAATAAACCAGTTTTATTAAGTAAGGACTTGTGTCGCTAAAGTTTCGTTGGAACGAAGTTACGGAAAGTTAATTAACGAACGGAGACGTAACAATACATACCTACTATCGCAATGGTATTAGAAACAACTTGAATGCCACGCCAATGTTAACTCATTCGTAAGACTCAATAATGATAATTACAATAAACAAATATATGTGTGTGAAAATTTTTAGCTCGGCTTGCGCATGAAATCTAACTGTAGCAAGAAAAAAATAGAAAGAGAATGACAGACAATTCGGAATGAAACAGTTTCTCCTACATGGTAAAATAAAAGATAGGGAGAGAAATGAGGGAGGTAGTTATAGAAAGTAGTTATCTTACCTAAGTTGTTATGTACTGAACTAAACTAGTCCATGGCTGATATAGAAAAGGGGGTGTAAAACTGTTGCCCTAAAACTGTGTACCATGATTAAATGAAAACGTATGCGAATAAATTTGTCTCTTTCATCTGCTGGAAATGTAGAACAACCTAAAGAAATTTAGCTCATAGTGGTTATAATATTCTGTATTATATTTTGAATAATGAACAGGCTCGGTAATCATATTTCAACTTTAAGTGGATAAAATGTTACTCGTAAAACAGCACAATAATGTCGATCTTACGTTTATAAATTTCTTATGATACTTGAACGAAATGGGAAGGAAGTCAGCAAGAGCCCCTGACTTCGGGCAGTGATCACGTGCTTTATTATGTCTCGCTAACGGGACAGCGCCTGCAAGCTGTTGCTACATTAACGTAAAGTACAAAGGCCTTGAGAATCGACATTTGTTACCTAACGCTCTACGGTTGAATATGTAAGATCTTGTTCGTGTAATATCGAAGGTCAAAGCCAGTGATCTTTGAAGTGTGAGGGCAAATGTCCAATATTTCGTATATCACTGTGACGTAGTTTGTTTATACGGTTCAATCCAAATTTGGTGATGAAACGTACGGGAGTGAATCGTGGCCGCCTGTTGATATAGGTTTTTAAGATTAGTAGTTCGTATATCTTTTTTAAACTGAAGTCGAAGTGATAAACTTATTTTGTGACGAAACGTAACTTGTCTTCATGGGTGGTTGACCAACATTATAATTAGCCTATAGGCTAAAAATCTGATTCTTGGAAAATCACCATTCAAATGAGCACTATTTCTGAAGAATTGGAAAATGAACGGTCACAGTGTGGAGATTCTGGGCCTAATTTTAGCCTGTTACAAATAAGTGATAACACCACCGACCGTCTGTCATCGGTGTCACGATTGATTCATCCTTGGCGGGTGAATCTTCCCCCGTTATCATGGGATTGGAGTCGTCTTAAAAGGTACACTTTTCAGTCACAAAGTAACATTTGGTAGGTCTTAAAAAATCTGAACACGCCTTACGTAGCATGTAACTTGTAATGATAAATGTACTAGTAACTGTAACGTTATATTTATAGACCCCTAAGAAGTGGTAAGGCCAGTCAGGCCATGACCTGACCACTTTTTCATGGCATGTATAGCTGGAACTTGTGTATTAAACTTGCTTCTTTTAAATTCAATAGATTGAAGTGTGTGTGTGTGTTTGTGCAATATTTGTAATTAAAATGGCTCAAGATTCAATCTCGTAGCATTAATTTTTTTAAAAACTTTCTGGGCATGACATGCTTTGCATGCGGTAGCGTGCTTTTCGTATATCGTGTGTCACGTTGTTTAGCTGTGTCAATGGCCTGACCAATATATTTAATATGAGTGTGATAATTTATTTTGCATTTGTACCAATTTAATTTAAACTAACGAGAAGAGTAAAAAATAAAGAGAAATAGTGTAACTAAGTTGAATCTAGTTTAACTCCTTTCACTTTATATAATACCATCACTGTTTTTGTTTTGTATTGCATTGAAAAACATTATGCTACTTTTTATTTATTTTTTAATTCCAAAAATATGATTTGATGTAACTGGGAAAAGATAAAATAATTTTAATTTAGATGGCCATAGTGTGTATTGTAAGGGCTCTTGCTCTTAAAGTTGTGTATTAGTAAATGAAATCTACTAAGAAACAGTAGGTCCTTTCATCTTTATCCATTTACAGAATTTCTTAATCTGAGGTTAGGAATATTATCATGTTGCACAAGACTGGTTATCCCTCATTTAAAACATTAGTGCACATTCAGTTGTGACTTCCATATTATAAGAAAAATGCAGATCAGTTAATGTCTATGACAGCATAACCTGATTTTGAAAAATTTGGGGTTTTGGAGAGAGAGAGGCTTAAGCATTTTTTTCATATCTGAGGACTAAGATATTAATATTGAGTAGGTATAAAAGACACATTTAAGACTTTAACAAATTAACACATAGGCAGTAAGTGACCATTTGTTTCTTCAATCCTGTTGCATACCTAGTCTTAAGAAAATGTTGAAATTAAAGCTGCTGTTTGTTTTTTTGGAAATCATCTATCCCATTCTTAAATACTTATTAAGTGCCATCCTTTACTACCATTGATGGTAACTCAGTCTATAAGCCAATCAACTATTAGAAGAATGATACTGTCATAAGTGAAGACTGGCTTTTTTTAAATTTTGACATGCTTCATCTCATTCTATTGTCTTTAGAATACAGACTAAACATTAGAGCCCTCTATCCTATTGATCCCCTAGTTAATCTTGTAAACTTGAAGATCACTACTTACTCTTTTTTTCTCAGTAGAAAATGAGTTAAAAAATCTTAACCTATCCCTGTAGAATAACTTTTCCACCCATGTAGTCATCTTAGTAGCCCTCCTCCTTTCCAGTGAATTGGTATCATTTCTTGGTACACATTATTCTAAGCGAGGGCTAACTAGTGATTTATTTAAAGATAATTACCTATCATTATTGTAATCAACGTGTTTATAACTACACCTGAAAGCAGTCTATTAGCTTTAATAACAACAACAGAATACTGCTTCAATGGGTAGAGTGACTTATCCACTACTTGTGCCAATATCCTTTTCTTCAGCCTCACTGAGTGGGTTCTTATCTGTATAAAATGTGTGATATAAATTATAATAATACAGATGCATTACCTTACACTTAATATAATCAAAGGTCATTTGCCAGATATTTATCCAACTTATCAATTGACACAAGTCAGTCTGTATAGTTCTACAAATCATCAACAATACAGCTAGAAATACCCAAGAGTTTAATGTCATCAGCAAACTTAACAAATTATGCCTTTATCACAATCGTTAATGTAAATAAAAACAGAGGCCCAAGCACTGACCCTTGAGGTACGCCACTAGTAACAAAGGTCCAGTTTTTACTGGACTCCAGTAATAAGAACCATTTGTTTTTTTTTCAAATGTCACTACAATCCAATTAACTCATCTTTCCCCAACCTCAACTGATGTGATTTGCTTAACTAACTTTTCAAAAAAGTTAACAGATTAGTAAGGCAAGATTTCCCTTTAGTGTATTCATCTTGGCTTTTGTAAGTAAATTAGACTACACCTTAATTATGTTTTGATTTCTTATGATGTTTACTTGTTTGGATGCATTCCTTTTATTGTTATCTTTCTTAACTTTCTATTAGAAAGTGTTTATAAAGTGTTGCACAAGAGGTTAATTATAAAGTCAGATTCTTAGATAGTTATTGAAAATGTTAAACAGAAGGTGTATAAGAGTGTTTTAAAGTAGATCCCTTATTGTTTGTTATATAACTTTTTGGATTGTAATATGTTGCTAAAATCTAATGATATGAAATTCTAAGGAGGTATTGATAATGTTAGAGCTTCTTTTATTCAGAAGGACTTGGACAGTTTTAATGAAAGAGTAAGAATTTGGGAATTCAGTTTTAGTTTTGAGAAATGTCAAGTAATGCACTTCAGATATGTATGTAAATTTGGTAAAAATATGCTATGGAAACAGAGCATTGAAGTTGTAAAAACAGACTTTGGTATGATGTATGATTACTTAAGTAAAGTTAATGACTTCTAAATGTTTAACAATAGGATTTATAAATAAATATGGTTTGAAAAATAAGAATGTTATGGTAATATTGTAAAGGACATTGAGGAGTTTTCACATTGAAATACTATGTATAAATTTGTCCCTTTACTACAGAAAAAACATGAACAAGCAGGAAGGATTGCAGACTATGGTCACTATAATAATATTTGTTTCTTGGGTAGGAGTATAGACAAAAGCTTAAAACCCATGACTTGCTTTCTTCAAAGCTTTCAAACATGAGTAATCCTTCTTGGAATGGTCTTTTAAAAAACAGAATAGATATATCTAAAAATACAAATCATTTATGAAGGGCATGTTCAATGGACTGAGATTTAGAATCTTTGGAAAAAAATTATAAATACATAAACAGAATTTGAAAGTTATAGAATAGCTTACCAGGTTATCTTGCCTGCCATTAATTTAAAATTAATGTACATGTTTGTTGGATATTTAAGGGCAACATTTTGTATGCATTGTTTGTTTTGGTGAATAGATGATGATCTCATTGGTTGAGTTGTCTACTGTCACCTTTTTTTGATGAAATCATGTTTGTAAAGTTTAAGCTATTTAATCAGCACTGTTTAGAAATAAATACATAAATATATATTTATATATGTATATCTTCTTGTATTCTTCCCTTACTTAAATTGAATAAATTATTGTGCATACTGAAATGTAGTAGCTAATCTGGTTTGTGAGTCTACAATATCATGTGGCTGAATATCTTAATATGCAGTTTCTGGTTCTTGAAAATTACCTTGATCCTTTAATCACTTATAGAAAAACAGGTTAATTACCCTTATTTGTATGTGTGAAGCTAACACTGATTGTTATCACTAGTTAGAGCTGACTTAGGTACACTACACAAAACAGCACCAGATAGCCAACTCAGCATGTTGTTAGCTTATCTAAAATACTGAATGACTGTGCCAAACCACACCAGTCCTCCTTCATAAGTGTCACATGACCTCAGCCTTAATTACTATAGGCATAGGCAGTTAAGCTACATCTTATTCATAAAACCTTTTTCTTTTACCAGTCATTGTTTAAATACAGTAATACCCTTCTCTCAGATACACACAATAATAAGGAAAATTATTAACATACCAACTATATTTAACAAGTTTAGTAATGAGTAATAAAATATAGGAATGAACTAAGTGGCAAAAGCCAGTGTACATGTACACATAGTCCAGAGCACCTCTCTGCCTATCAGAACAGCTAACCTAAATTAGATGTGCTGCCCTGTTTCACCTCTGTAACATAACTATCAAATAACAGTTTAACAACACTGGGCACATTATGAAGCAAGTCATTCCACAATAGTATAACAGTTCAAAAAATAATTCTGTTAAAATATAAACTACATATACAGTGTAAAGAAAATATCTGCCATTATTAATGTGTGAATTGTGTGTTAATGTACATTCTAGATCACATATATATATATATATATATATATATGGAATAAAAGACATGATAATGTAAACAGCAGTGATAGGACCTACTTCAAGTGAAAGTTCATCACCCTGTGTATTGAATATAAAAAATATTAAAGATATATATATAAATGACTAAAAAAATAACACACATATTCTTGCAAACATAAATATATTAATGTTGGTCATTAAGCAGGTCTTTGACCCCAAACTTGTTCTTAAAGGTCGAAAATTATATTCACTGGTGACAGTAATTGTATAGACAAATATGGATATAGCTTAACATTCTAAGAATAAATGGTAACACATATAAACTGTGTGTTAGCCATAACCTTAAAAATGAAAGTATAATTCAGGTCTTTATTTTGTCAAGTGCATTATGCGGTGTAGAATTTATCATATTTCAAGAATATTGACATTTGTTTTATTAATTTTATCTTTAATTATTAAAAGCAAAACCAAACAATTAAGTGATATCCAGAGTGTGAAAAATCTAGAAATTATATAATATTTTTTTTACGAATTACATATATCTTGCATTTACTTTATATATTTATTCTAAAGCAGTTTATTAAAATTATATGTTTACCACATCTGCAAAACAAGAATTTGAGGTTATACATATATTGAAAGAAATAAAAAATATTGCATGTCCATACATTTATAATTTTATTCAAATTTTTTTAAGTCTAATTCCATTTTATATTACCTTCAAGAAACTATTTTTGAACTTACAGCAGTATTTACAAAATTTGATGTTTTGAAAAGTAAGAATTACAGAGTAAATTTTGCTTTGATTAATTCAGAATAATTGTTGAAGATACTCATCATACTTAAATTTTGCTCGTGGTGTTCTTGGTGAAAGAAAAAAACTTCTATTTTTAAATTGTATTAACAAACTTGAATGGAGTTTAGTTTTTCTTTCACAAAAATGGATATGAAATTTATGAAATAAATAAAATTATTCTAATTCTTTAAAATAATTGTACTATTTTGTATTATTTCTATTTCAGAATTTTGGAATCAGATTCCAAATCACTAAATTCCTTAACACACACACACTCCCGAAAATCATCTGATACTAGCCTTGTCTCTGTTCAGTCTTCTCACAGTTATCACAGTGTAGCACCTGAAGATGAACAACTAGAAGAAGATGTTTGGTTGGTTTGGGGAAGGATAGTTAATGACTGGGATAGCCACATAAAGAAAAAACTTTGTATGTTAAAGTAAGGTATTTTTTTTTTTTTTTTTTTTAGTTTTATTTTAAGATGCTTATTCCTTGTGTTTGTTATTTCATATGCATGAACTTATAAAGTTTGTAAAAATTAACTTTTGGTTTGAAACCCAACTTAAAATGGTAAAGGGCCAGGTATGGCCTAGTGGTTTGTATCCTAGACTAGATTAATTCTAAGGATCAGTGTTTCCTGTTGCCACAAAAGCACACACCATGCTTTGGGGGGCCATGGTTGGATTATTGTACTAATGATTTACTATATTAGCTTGTAATCCTTGCAAATTATTTTTACAAGAAACTATTAAAAAATTATTTCACAAATGATCTTTTAATATTTGGTGTGGCCACATTTGACAACAATAGCAGCTTTGTAACTTTGATAATGTCTATTTTATTCAATTATTAATGTTGGAAGAATCTTTAAGATTTTTTGTCAGTCTTCTCAGATAATTGCAACAATCTAAGTGTAATCTGAATCATACATATCAAGGCATGGTATCTGTATAATGTTAATAATATCTCCTTGTCCTTTTGTTGAAAGTTAAATGAAATTGTTACAACTGAAACCAAAGTAATCTTGAAAGCAGATTTTTGCATGCAGTTACCTGGGGATTTCAAAAGGGAAAAAATTAATGAAGCATTAAACATAAAAAATTTACTTGTATTGGAGAAAACTGCTGTAAGCAAATGATTGTTCATCAACAGAAACCCACTTTTGAAAGACATGTAAATTCAAAGATACATGTATGTTTATGTATGAAATATAATGGGGCTTACACACTTTTTTATTGCCTTTATTGTTTTCATTCTATTTTTTTATAATGTTAAAGGATGCTCCTACATCATCAAACTTGTTTAACCAAAGAGAAAGAAACCACTAACTATGTTGTATAAGGGTTTAAAAAATTAATCTGCCTAATAAATACTACATCTTTAAATCTTATTATTTTTTAACGACGTTTATAAAAAGATCTTAGTTGTCTGAAACCCCCTCCTCCTTCCCTACAGAGAAATGATTCAGCATCATGCATTTTTTTCTAATTGTAAAAATCATATATTGGTTAAATTTTAATATATATTCAGCTACTGTACAACAAGAATAAAGCTACAGGTCTTTAAAAATATTTTGATGTAAGATTATATATTTATATTGCTAGAGAAACACGATATTTAAAAAAATGTTTAAAAATCATTAATAATGCACTTTTCCTTTCATACATGCTTAGATATGCCTGTATTATGGGTAAAAATAAAACAAGGGTTGGTCTAAACAAGGAGAGAAATAATGACGATCTGGAAATGAATTTGACATTGCTTATCTACTTCTCTTGTGATCCAGGAGCAGGTTCGAAAGGGAATCCCACATCACTTTAGGGGAATAGCATGGCAATTGCTCTGTAATGCTCAGAATTGTTCTGCGAAGGAACGTTTCGCAGAGTATATGAAGAATTCATCACCTTGTGAAAAGGTGATTAGAAGAGATATTGCCCGGACATACCCTGAACATGAGTTCTTTAGAGAGAAGGATGGGCCAGGTCAGGAAGGTCTGTTTAATGTTATGAAAGCTTATTCACTACATGATAGAGAAGTAGGATACTGTCAAGGAAGTGCCTTCATTGTTGGGCTACTACTATTACAGGTAAGGATTATCAATCTTAATTAAATCAGTAATATTTGAATAATACAGTATTTTAGGCTATTAATGTCAAAAGCTATTAATATCTCACTATAGTGTACTATATATAGTGTCCTGTTGATTGATATAGTTGACTCCCTCCTGAGAACATGTATATTTGGATGTATATTAATAGCAAGTGCTGTTAAAGTATCATTTAAGTAGGCACAATTTATAATTGTAGTGCTCATTTATACACACTGCTGTGTTTGATAAAATTTTCATGTTATAACAGATACTAGAACAATGCTGTAAGAGAGGAAATCATATTTCATCTTCTGTTTATCTATATTTATATGTATATACTGTGTGAGTGTGTGTGTGTGTATAGGAGACACACTAAATTTATATTTCTAGTAAGTAGATTCAGTTGCTATTAGCTAACTTATCTAAATTATTTTTGATACTAAATGGTTCTTTTAATCCAGTAACTTAGTCCATATAGAGATAAACTAACTGTAACAAAAATGTAAAAAACAAAACAAAAAAAATATGAAAATGAAAGAATAAGGCAAACAAAATCAAACACCATATCACTATTATCCAAACATCTAAAGTAAAACAACATGTAAGACAAGAGTGACATTAATTTTAACATTTAAAAGAAAAAAGGTTTAACACACAACAATTATATTAATATTAACTTCTAACAGGTATACTAATTCCAGCACATAAGGAAAAACAAAATTTAACACAATAGCATCTTTTTACCATGGATGATATTTTAAAACACTACAAATTGAGGTTGAGTCTGATAGATGGATGGATCCCTACCTGTGTGTGGGTCATACTTCTGCAAGTATTTCCCCTACTAGGGTATATATTATTCATTCTTCAGTGTAACTTGTAGCTTAATTTTCTTTATCCGTTCTCTATTTTTGCCACATACTCTAGTTGGTACTCTTGTACTAGAAGACAATCAGAGACACCCTAAGTCCATTATGATGCTTATATAATGTATGCTTTTTAAAGAGAAATACCCAAACTTTGACCAATAGAACTAAGGGAATTATAGGATCTACTATCCATAACTGTAGACTTGTTGAGCTAATGTTTAAAATAATGTAGTATTATCATACAGTAAGACAAAGAGATATGTTTACATATAGAATAGAAAATCTGATAGTTAACCATCAGAATTCTGACAATACAAAAAAAAGTTTTGACATTACCAATATATGTAGAATTATACTTTTAATATGAAAAAGTTATTATGAGCTTTTAATTTACACCATTACCTGGCAGAAATGTGACTTGTACAGTTTAAGATGTTTTAATACTTGTGTATAGGAGCAGCAATGGGCAACAGTAAGTTTTAAGACATGTAATTAATAAGATAATATAGCTACTGGCAAGTTTAGCAGTTTGCACAATCAGAAGGTGAAATTGAAATGAATATTAAACTCAATAATTTCAGTTTTTACAAATAGTGAAAGAAAGGTATATATTCACATATGTACTCACATTATAATGGCATTTTTATAAAATAATTTGTGTTTTCAAACATTTCTAGATGCCAGAAGAAGAGGCATTTGCTGTTCTGACAAGGCTCATGGAAGATTACAGACTTCGAGAAATGTATAAACCCAGCATGGCTGAACTAGGCTTATGTATGTACCAGTTAGAGTCCATTGTCCAGGTAAAATTTCACTGTAATTTAGTTAAGATAGATCTTAGAATTCTGAAGCAAATTTTTCTTCAAAGTTAATAGCAAAAATGAAAATACATAAACATAACTTGTAAAGTCTCAGCACCCTACTTTTTAGATTTTGTTTTTTTTAATGTTCGTTCTTTAAAAGTTTATTTTCTAACTTATCTGTCAGGCAAGTTATAAATTTAATTGCATAAAGAAGACTTGATATCTAGTTGTCCTCCTTTTTGGAACCTAGAACCCAAAAGAGAAAATTCTCATACTCTTGGACATAACTGGAATAAGTGCACTATTTATCTAGGACCATAAACTGCTAATAAAATGACTGAGAACTGTATTCAGACTATGAAAAAGAGTTAAAATTCAACTAAAAGATTTTGTTATCTTTTAGTTGTAAATAATATAAGTTATATTGACACAAGGTTATACAGACAGCATTGTGTATGTTTATAGTTCTTTGTAGTTTAAAAATGTACTGTGTTGGTATAATACCAATAAATGTCATAGTATAGATTATGTTTAGAATTATTTTAATAATGAATTGTGTGTTTTTAAATTGTTTGGAAGCAAAAATTAGTGTTGACTATATAATGTTAAAGTATGTATGTACTGATGAAGTAGATATCAAACATAGAAATGTGTCAGCTTTATTTTGTTGTCCAACTTCTTTATTACACACTGAGCCTGTTCATACCTATTTTCTCATGTCCTACCCAGAGGAATGAAGGCTCAAGCTATAGGAGTATCAAAAATATAAAATTAAATCTTTCACATCATTGTCTCAGTTACGTAGTACATTGCATCGTTCATAGTATAACGTTTCCTTAAACCCAGCCCTTGGTAATAATTTTATGCTTTGCCTATGTTTCATTATATGCTCTGCTGAAACAACAAGTATAGTTGCAATACAGATAAATAATAAATTAAAACATAAAAGTAAAAGTGTCTAAGTCATTCAATTAAAAAGTATTTGGAATGACAAGAAATTATATCATCACTCAAGCTCTCTACCAAAACATCTAGTCATCATAAAATATTCAATTCTTAGTTTAAGCCTTTGTTATAAAACATTTCAGCACATCATGAAAATCCAGGTGGGCTTGTGCATAATATCATTATTGAATACACAAAGAAAGTCTTCTTGCATAAACATATGTTTTAAACAAATTAAATACTTCATGATTTGTTCAACATTTTCTTGCTTCATGCTTTTATAATTGGGCTGTGTATTTTTTTTTGGGGGGAATGTCATTTAATGTCTATATACTCTGACCTTTTTTTGGGTCAATGTGTCTGGGAAACTTGCCATAAAAACCAAAGTAGCATTCCCAATCAAGAAACAAGGCAGGAACATTATTACAATATTCAAACACTTAAAATTCTTCTTGTTCATAAAGCATCAGATAGAAAACTAAAAGTACGTCACTTTCAGATGAGCTTTGTTGGAATGAGTTATTTTAACCTTCTATTGTAATTGTCAGTGTGTATTTGTGTGTGTATCAATTTAATGAATACAATTTCTTATTAACGAGTGACAAAAGCAAACCAAAAGTTTAGGGAAAAATTAATGTTTCATTTTCTGTTGTGTAGGTATGAATGTTACATGTTTAAATTGTTTTCCTCATTGGTGATAGACAATAGTGCTTAGTGCTTCTACAAGTACTATTTCCTTTAATGACAAATATCCACTACTGATAACAGATTTCTTACTTTTCCTTCATAGGAACTGATTTTCATAAAGTTACATCTCAACCATCAGTAACAAAAGTTTTATTTTTTTTTCCCTCTCAGAAACTGATTCCTATATAGTTACACATCCAATGTCAGTAACATTTTTTTTGTTGTTGTTTTTCATTTCAGGAACTGATTCCTGAGTTACATATACACTTTCAATCTCAAAGTTTTTACACATCAATGTATGCATCATCTTGGTTTTTAACCCTCTTCACAGCTAATCTTCCACTCCAACTAGCATCAAGGGTAATGGATTTGTTTCTCTCTGAAGTAAGTACTTTGTGAATATTGGGTGTTGTATTAAATATGGGAGTAATGTAATGAAACTAAGTTAACTCCACAATATATATTTGAGCAAATTCATTGCAGTGTAAAACTATAAAAGTTGCAGCCATTTTTCTTACACTGGTTGTTGTTTGTATTGGGATCATGTAGGTTGATTTTGTTTTCTTTTTGTAATTCTGTTAAATTAAGCCTGAATTAAGTTTTAGTCTTGGTTTCACTGATTTATTTTTAAAATTTTATATTTCATCCATAATTAAACATACAATATAATGCATTATTTTAATCATCAGGGAATAAGCACAAAAAAATTAAATGTTTCTAAACTGAATGTGAGACAGCTGTCTCAAATATGAATTTGAAAAAAATGTATGTGTTTTGAAAAGATTCAAGTCTAGTAAAATTTCTTCACATTGTTTGATGTTAGTTTATCTTTGCCTATAAACCTTTAAATTATACCATATTTGTTGAATACACACACATTTAATGTTGAAATAAAATGTCTGTAGCTATGAAAATAAAATGCATAATATCTATATCTTTAAACAATTTCAAAGAAGTTTCATGAGTATGATTTATTTATATTAATCTTTATTACTGTCCTGCATAGGATGCATGCAGTTAAATGATCAACTAATATTAATGTGCTTGTATGTCACTAATTCAGCAGTTCGTTTTCAGTTGAATGTGAGTTTCATTGAAAATATTAGAATAAATGCTTTTATCAGTAGAATCCTATTCAAAGAAGCAGTATTTCAAGTTTTGTAACTTTAGATAAATAAATTATGCCATTTTGAATAGTTGAACTTTGTTTTATAGTTTCTTGAAAACAAAATCATAAAATCAACCAATATTCGAGCAATATTTTATTTAATCTTAAGTCATCAGCACTGTTACTTGTAGCTATGTGTGTTTTAAGTTGATAGAGATGATAGGGTAAAAAGTAAGTTTCTTTCCTTGGGCAGTTAGTGCAGGCTTGTCCTTTAGTCATCTTTTACTTTATTTTGTTTTTCTGTATATTTGTTGAGTCATTTTTTTTTTGTTTCTTCAAGAAATTTCTTAATTTTCAAGGTAAGTAATTTCATAACTGAAAAAAAAAACTGTAGACAAGAAATCATTTATGGCACAAACTTCAGGAAAGTAACTTAAGTCAAGACTAAAAGCATAAAATGTAAATTCAACTGATGATGGCCCAAACAAATGAGGCTGAAATATGTAGCAAGATATCTTTGTTTTTGTAATAATTAATATAATTTGGTTTAAATTATGTATATTACTTTTTTAAATTTAAGAAACTTATTTTGTATACTCAGAAAAACATCAAAGCAACATTCTTACCACTCACATGATTACAATAATATTATTTGTATTTATTCAGAAAATAGCTGAACATTTGAATTAGCATGTCCATGTTAGGTATTATAAAAAGATGACAACATTTCTTCAAATTGTTTGTCTTAATTAATCACATAATTTTATTAATAATCTCCATGACAGTGACCAATTTGGTATGCATAAATGACTGGATAAAGCCAGCATGGTATGTACAGTAAGTAAAATGTTTAGTAGAAAAAGTGGTGTAGCACTTGCCATAAAAGAATTGTGATGGTTCTTTAACAGAAAGAAAAAAATTTAGTATATGCAAATGTTTCTTAAAGTGCTGTTTGATTGTGTGTAATTAATAATACAAATTAAGATACTCAAGTTTAGTGTATCCTCTATAACCTGGTGATAAGCATGTTGATATTGGAGTTCAATCTCTCTCCAATGGGCACAGCAGAAATAGTCCCATTGTGCAGCTTTACACTTGACAACAAACAAACTTATTTACTTTACTGTAAACTTGACAAATTTGGTGCTATTAATTATCTCATTACATTACAGAATTAAATTTCTGAAAGAATTACTATCACTCTCAGAGATTGGTGTGTGTAAATGTAATTTATGTTTTTGCTGAATCTATTTCTTAATTTTCAGGGCATGGAAATGATATTTCGTATTTCAGTTGCCATCTTGCAGTTCTGTAAAGAAGACTTAATTCAGCTAGACATGGAAGGCATGCTTAAAGTCAGTAAACAAACTATTTTCCTTGTAATATTTTTTGTGAGGTGTTGCCAGTTGTTAACAATGTCAATACTAAAGACTTGATTTAACTTTGATGAGATGCAATCACAAACTAAACATAATGGCAGTGATTTTAATATAATTTTGGTGAAAATGTAACTGAACATAGGAACTATAAGAATATGGGATAAAGTATTGTAACTGTGTTTACCACAACACCAAGTAAACTGTCAGTTAGTTAATGTATATAAGATACAATCAAGAATATATTTAGGCCCTGTAGTGTATTTGCAAATCTTTATCTGTCATATCAGTGAAAGTTGTGTTATCAAATATTTAGAATATTATAAGTCTATAATTAAAAGCTGTTTTTTTTGTCTTGATTTTTCATTGGTGCTTCTGAGCTCAACCTTTAATATTGTAGGATTACTTTTAAATAATGGTAGTATTGAATCAACTGAAAATAGGCTGCAGATTAGTTAGAAACATTGTACCAACTTGCATAATGCTATTTCCACAATTAAATGAGCTACATTTCCTTAATGATTTGTTTGATAATCTGCAATGGAGCATAGATATTGTGAATGTGATTGAAGTGATGCACTGGAATTACATTCCTAAAATTATTACCTCATGCATGTTGACCATTAAGACTTCACAGCTAAATAAAGTTATTGATCATGATTGACTTTGGAATATTGCTTCAAAACATTATCCTAAAATTAAAAATACTCTCTCTTTTTTTTAATTATTTAATAGCTCACATTTGAAAACAAGTATTATTTTTGTATGATGGGCAGTGGTAGACTTATAGGTACTAGGGGCCTGATATGATAGTTTTACATAAGAAAAAATTGGGTATACGAGTTAATAAACCACTGCTTTTCAATAAATATCAAAAAAATGACAAAAACTTTTGTTCAAAGAATTGTCAAAATAAGATTTAAAAATCTTTAAAAAACTCGTACCATTATGTTCCTTTTCAATTTCAGCAGAAAACTTTTTTTTAGCTATGGGGTGAATACATGTCTGTTGCACATATTAGTTAAAATAACATCAATCGTGCACTTTAGAACTACTTTAGTATTTTTCATTTATTTATTATTTTTTGCTTTGTTTCTGTTTTAAAAAATGGCTCATTACACTTTAAAAAATCTTCTCGAGGTATTGCAGTTTTTTGGTTCTTAACAATTATTAAAAAGTTACCCTTTAAAAATTTTGATAATTTATTTATTTAATTTCTTGTTTTTCCTTCAAGTATTTTCAGAAAGAAATGCCTTCTAAATGTGAAACAGACCCAGACTATTTGGTAACCATGACACTTCAGGTCAAATACAACAGCAAAAAGATGAAAAAGTTAGTATAATTGTAGTTCTAACCTTCAAACAGTCATCAGTTGGTTTAAGCAATTTACCAGTTCAGCAGAACAGAGTTTTACCATGTATGGTTTGTCATTAGATCTTAAATATTATAGTGTTTAATACACTTAGTAGTTCTAAAGACTGGCGAAAAAGGACTTTTATGTCATATTTCTAATTATAAATCAAATTATCAAAAATTTATATAAATATCTTACAAACTAGAATACTTGTGAAAGACATTTGCATGATTTTAATCAAGCTGCGTCAGAACAGCTTTGCAGGTCATGTATTGCCCTGTGGGCTACTACAACTGTAGACCTTCCAACTCTTACAATTTAGGTGTAATTTTTCATTTTTCTTTTTTTTTCATTTTATGCTTGTTCGAATTGTTGTGTTATTTTACAATTTTATATGAAATTCCAGAAGTTTTTCAATGACCTTATTTTCTACTAGTAATTTTCCAGAAATATTTCAATGCTCTTCACTATGTATCTCAATCTTACAAATGTTTGAAATAGTTGATCTTTGATAGGTTGTTTAGGCAGAGTATTCATAATGAATCTAAGTTTCAAATAGACAGCAACTGCCTGTTATAGAAACCTACAAATGTAGAGGACGACGTTACGTAAGTCTTCCGCCTTTCGTCTTCAGGAAACTTTTGAAACGT